CAGTAGTAGCAGCAGTAGCAGTAGCAGTAGCAGTAGCAGTAGCAGTAGCAGTAGCAGTAGCAGTAGCAGTAGCAGTAGCAGTAGCAGTAGCAGTAGCAGTAGCAGTAGCAGTAGCAGTAGCAGTAGCAGTAGCAGTAGCAGTAGCAGTAGCAGTAGCAGTAGCAGTAGCAGTAGCAGTAGCAGTAGCAGTAGCAGTAGCAGTAGCAGTAGCAGTAGCAGTAGCAGTAGCAGTAGCAGTAGTAGTAGTAGTAGTAGTAGTAGTAGTAGTAGTAGTAGTAGTAGTAGTCGTAGTAGTCGTTATAGCCGAACAACGAGATACCACGGTGCAATTCGTGATTGCGAAGGCCTTACGGCCAGTGCCGCCGACCCTGAGAACGACGAAGAAACGAGAGGGGGAGAAGGATGTGGAGGACAAGCAAGAGGAGGAGACGGAGGCAGAGGAAAGCAGGAGAAGGGGGAGCAGGGGGGGGGAGGAGGAGGAGGAAGAGGAGGAGGAGGAGGAGGAGGAGGAGGAAGAGACGGAGGGCAGAGGCTTTCTTGGGACAGCCCATTCGCACATGGGAAACCTGTGAAAGTGTGGTTCGCGATGCTCTGCAATCTGGTTCCCAACATCACCGTCAAGCAACATCGCCGTTAGCCTGGTCTTGGCACGTGCGCCGAACTTGCCGCGACACGGCTCGATGTCGCCCGCCCGGTCGTCCCCGCCACGCCCTCCAGAGGATGGGCGTGCGCCGCGCGACGTGCATCGCGGCCGCCGGCGCGGCGCTCACGGCGGGCCGCCGCCCCCCGCGGCCCTCGCCGCCTCTCCGCTCTCCTGCGTTTTGTTGGCCGTGTCGGGCGTCTCTCGCCCCGGGGGAGGAATCCTTGGCATCGTTCGGGCGTGTGCACTCCTACCTCGGCGAGGACCATCGAGGAGCATCCAGAATCATCGAGCAAAACAAACGCGCACAAAACCGAGACATGCACGGGGAACGGACGTCCGAGCGATGGAAGAGTCGAGGCCTTAGGGGGTCCACGTCGCGGAACAAGTCATTACGTTTGGGGTTGGGGTCGGCGGTCACCTTGGGCCACAGGAGGGGGGGGGCGCAGTCGGGGAGACTCGGAGACGTTTTCTTGTGGATTTGGTGACCCCTCTGGTGTTTGGCACGCCCCTTGGGCCCCTCCGAAGTCTCGCATGACTCCTCCTCCTCCTCCACCTCCTCCTCCTCGTTTTCCCCTTCCTCTTCCTCCTACTTTCTTCCAGCCAGGACTAAGCGAGGGTGCAAGGAAGATCTCATCTACTTCCGTCCTTCGCCCTCCCCGTCGTCGACCTCACCCCACCCACCCTTTCCTATTCCCTTCTCCTCCCTGACCAAATCTCTCGTCGTTATGCGAGATGCTCTGGCGCAGTGTACTCCACCGTCGGCGAACTGGTCACTACTCTGGCGGACGTGGCTGTGATGACCTTGAGAAGGATGGGGCTGACATTCTAGACCGGCACCACATTTCGGGACACTGGCGATGGGAAGGCCGTCGGGTGAAACGTTTGGTGAACGGGCCGGTGCCGAAGCCTCCGACATAAAGGCGTGGGGCAGATTGCGAGGCAATTGGAAGGAGAGCGAGGGCGTGCCAGACGCGAGGCGCGATGCACGAAGAGCCCCTCCGAGGGCTACTTGGGAAGACGTCGGACGTGTGGGTTCTGCGACACATCTGGGCCCTGCGGCCGGCCGTATGCCACACCATGTGGGGACAAACGCGGCTATGTGCACGGACCGGTGAATTCCGATGTGCACCAATCTTGCGAGGGAACCGACGGCACGCTTTGGCACATGTGTTTCGAGTGCCCCGCCTGCGAGCCCTGTCGTCGACAGTATTTTTCGCTGGAGGCCAGGGACGGGGCCTAGAAGGTGAGACTTTGGAGCATGGCAGCAGGAGAGCGGCTAGCACAAGGATTCCTGCCAGAACCCAGCGTTTTCTTTACTTTTCCAGACGTCCTTGTCGAGATGTTTGTGATCAGCAGCCCTAGCGGCAGTTTCCTGCGAGGGCGCATATTCAGCGACGGTCCAGCGCTCTTCCCAACCATTCCGTATCTGTCCAGAGCGTGGTGGTCATTGGTCCTGGTGGACAGGCCGGGCAACTTGAACGTGGCAGCGCGCGCGGTGGTCCCGCGCAGCGAGGCCCTATCTCAGTCAGCGCGGGGCGGGGGAGATTTCGCTGTAGGTGTGGTCCTCCGCCCAGTCGCCAGTGCCCCCATCGACTTGTTCGTGGATTGCGCGGGCACCATCGGCGTCGCGAGCGGCGGCCAGGGACCGACCCTTGCACGACAGACGATCGCCCACTGGTTCGGCAAAGTTGGAAGGTCTTCATGCCGCGCGACGTCACGGCCCACAAAAGCGTAGCTCGCGCGACGCAGACCGACGCGGACGCAGGCCAGATTACCTCTATGGAGAGACGCGCGACTGCGAAGGCCGTTGAATTGGGCCGATGGGCGGGCCAGCTGCACGGCCGCGTCGCTGATCGCGGCCCTCCAGACCGGCAGGGCGTCTTGGGCAAGCAGGCAGAGGGGGGAGGCGCAGCGCCAGAGCCTGGTGGCATATAGAGGACGGCGCAGTGAGCCCTCTGGCCCTACGACCCCCCTCCTCGACCCGCGGCGGGACCGCTGGCCAGCCGCGCGTCGGGCGCGGGGCCGCGCTCTGCCGAGCGCCGAGATTGAAGGGAAAACCGGAACGCGCCCCATTGCTCGACGCCGTTGCGGGGCCTGTCTCGGGGGCAGGTCTCAAGGAAACGCGGCTCTCGGACTGCTCGGGCTCGAGGGGCGGCCTGGCTTTCCGCGAGCACTTGTCTGCGCTGTCGGCGGATGCACGCCGCATTTACGAATGCCGCCAAACCGGCGCGGAACTGAGCTGGCAACGGGCACTCCGAGGCGCCGGCGCTGTCTCCGGGAAGGGTCGCGCCCCGCCCGCGCGGCCCTTCCTGCGACTCCGGCTACTCGTCGTCGAGAGATGCGGAAGTCTGAGATTGGCAGCATGAGCGGCGCGCGCGCCGCTGGCTTCTGGGCCGCCCGCTGCCCGGCCCCAATCGCCGGCGCCCCCTTCGCGCCCGCCCCCCTTCAACCCCTGCCCCCCCTCCTCCGCGGGATTGGTCGGCGCCGTTCGCGAGGCGCGGCGACGCGGGGGAACGCGGCTCGGGCGGCGAGGCAGAGGGCGCAAATTCCACGGCTAAGCCACCCTTGCCCCCCACCTCCCGCGGGAGGAGGGGGCGCCTAGCAGCGGCCCAGCGGCCCGGCACCGCATCGATGGCGCGCGTTTCTCGCCGAGCCCGGTCGCGCCGGCCACGTCGGCGTTGAAGCTCAGGCGCGCTCTGAGTCAATCGAGAGCCCGCCCCGCGCCTACCCGGCAGACAGACTGCATGGAGACGTCGGGGTCATCTCGGGGGTCGCGCAGCGACATCAATCGCGCCCGGGCCACCCGTTGCGCCAATTCTGGCGCGCGGGGCTGCGAGCCGCAGCAAGGGGGCAGATCGTCTCGCGAGGGCTGCTGTTCAAACCCCGCCGACGCGCGCGCTGGGCGCCCGCCCGCCGCGCCCTGCAGCGACGACGGGCGCGTCGACCCGGGCGTCGTTGCCGCGCCCAGCCGGCAACGAGGCCGCGCGACGCGCGCCGCCGCCCCCCGCCGTTCCCCGCGCGCGCGGCCTTCTTGGCCCGCGGGGGGCGCCAGAAAAGTCTCCGCTGCAAAGCGCGCATTTACCGTGGATTTCGGCGCCAGGGCGCGTTTCTCCCAGTCGCGGCCAAACTGGCTAGCCCTCGCGGCCCGGCCCTGGCCTCGCTCGAGCGACTGCGCCCCCGGGCCCGTCGGCGCGCGAGAGCGCGGTCGCGCCCGGTTCGGGCGCCTGCGGCGCGCGCGCCAGCCTGGACCCTGGCCCCCAACTGGGGCTGAAGTGGGCGGGGTCGGAGGATTGCTCGGCTCTACGCGGAGCTCGACGTTCTCCGCGCCGACGTCGCCGCGACGTCGCCCGCGCATCGGCGACGCAACCCCCTGGCCCCGCCCATTCGCGCCCCCGCGCGGGGCCGAGCCGCCGGAACCGAGGCGCCCTCGGGCGCGCCCGCCCGAGCTCTCCTGGCGCGGCGGCGGCGGCGCCCGTGCCGACTGGAAGGCGCGGGTCGACGAGAAAGTTGCGCGAGGTGCGCGCGCCCATCCTCGCGATGGCGCCGCAGGTCTTCGAGAGTCGCATCCTCGTCGTCAGCGGCGCGGGCGGCGCGGCAGCGCTGGGGCTCTGCGCCGCTGCGCGCCAGTGACATCACCGATGCAGTGCCGGTTCTGCGGCGCGCGGCGCTCGACGCCACGCTAGGTCGATCCCGCCTTTTCGGTTGCGCGGGATTACTGCGAGGCGCCCGCCGCTGGGGTCATCGATATTTCGGGGGCCGCGGAAATCCCGGCAATGGGCGCCCTCGCGGAGAAAACAGAGGCCCTGCGCCAGGGGGCGTCGGCGGACGTCGCATCTCGCCGCCCGCGCAGCGCCGTGAGCTCGATCCCTGGGACGAGCGAAGGCGAATTGTCACTATGGGTTTCTGCAAGTTTTGCGCGGCCAGTCGCCCGGCGATCGTCAATGAGACCTTTTGTAGTTGGACTTGCTGCCAGCATGATGCTGGAAGTTCCCGACGGGGATGAGCTCTCCGTGGCCCCTGAGGACGGCGCGTTTTTTTTTTTTTTTTTTTTTTTGCACGAGGTTACCGATGCTCGGAATATGTCTGAGCAGACGGCTGGCGCGCGCGCCGATGGCATTTCGTTCGCCGACAACTGGTTCGATTCTGGCTAGGCGCCGCCATGGGGGAGCCCCTCATCGAGCCTTCGTTTCGCACGGCGCATTTGTCGGTGAAGTGAAGACGCAGTTCTGCATTGCACTCGGTCGCCACTGACGCGGCGCGTCGACTGTCAACTCAGGCGGAGCACGGAGAGTTCACAACTCGCCGCAAGGCTTGGCGACAGCAAACTTGGCCTCCATACGCGCGCCTTCCATCACGCGGAGAAGTTGTCTTGTGCATATATATACATATATTTATATGTGAATATATATATATAAGTATATACGTATATAAACATATATGTATATATATAGATATGTATATATAAATGTTTCATATATATGTGTATATATACATATGTATATTTATACACATATATATACACATACACACAGGCATTTGCGTGATGTTTTGTGTATATACACACATATATATACATACATACATACATACGCTGTTCGCACGGCCACCAGAACATACATAACTATAAATACATAAATAGAACGCTGCACGCTGTTCGCACGGCCACACATAAATATATATACATACATACAACATATAGAAGGCACGCTCTGCGCGCCCGCGCGGCGAACTTGCGACTTCCGCGATGCAACTGAGCTGCGCTTCGACGATCCGATGGGCGAGCGCGGACTCTCGCTCGCCCAGGTCGCCCCGATGTCGCGGGAATATGGGGCGACAAATTGGGGGGCTATCATTTGCCATTCTTGTGATTCTTCATTGGGCGGACAGATGGGCCCCGAACAGGGCCCGCCGCGAGCGCGGAATTGAAGGGCGCGGCGAGGGGCATCGCGCGCGCCAGGATTTCAAGCGAGGCTTTGCAACGCGACGCTGGCCGCGACGGCTCCCTTTTCGCGCGCTGCGCACGGGGGTCGCCGCGACTTCGCCTAGCTGGCTCTGGCGGCGCTGGCCGATGCTCGAGCTTCGAATGAGGTCGGGCTCGCGCCGGCGCCAGCGCGCGATTACGGGCGATTTTCTGTTCCATTCCGGCCGTCGCAGCTGTCTTCCCCCACAGAGAACGCGCGACGGGGTCGCGCCAGGATGGCCGACGAATAGCGAGCTCGCTGTCTTCCATCGCCGAACAAGTACCAACCAAATCCCGCGCCGCCCGCCCAACTCACGGCGACGCCTTGGGCGCGAATGCATCTCCTCAGTCGGCGCGGCAGCCGCGGCCAGAGCGAATCACGCCCTACATCCGCCCCCGCTTCTCGGGCAGGCGCGCGGCCGTTTCCCGCCCGAGCCCCTTCCGCGTGGCCCTCGCATCAGAGAGGAGAGCGTTTGCGCCCTCGCGGAGCGCGCGCGCGTTCGCCGCAGGTGGCGCGAGGGTTAAGAACGACCGAAGCTGTTGGAGGGGGTGCCCTGACGTTCTTCGCGCGCGTGCGCCCCGCCACGGAATGCCCCTCGTTTGTAGCATCTCCGCGGGGCCTTGGGCTTCCCGATGAAGGGGCCCGCGTTTTCGGCGCCGCTCTCTGATGGCCAAGTCGCGATCGCATCTCCCCATGCCGCCGCGGGAACACCCCGGCGCGCCCGTAGACGCGGCGCGCTCGCCGCGCTAGCTCGAGTCAAGGGCCCCGGCTGTCGAGCCGCGCCCGCCGCGAAGACCGCGCCCCCCCCCGCGGCCGACGCCGGGGCGCGGCCGCGCATCGAGCCCGCCGCTTTCCTCGAGGTGCACGCGCGTTGCGTGGTTGCGAGTCGCGGCTTTCCTCTTCCCGCTTACAACCTTTGATTTGATTTGAGCAGCGCTTCTCTTGGCGGTTTGGGGCCACCCTGGACGCCGACGCCTGGGCGCGCGACAATCCAGCCGCCACGCGCACCTTTCTAGCAAGAGGCCACGACGAGTGCATTAGTTGTTTGGCCGCTATGGAGCCCTTGCCAGCGCCAGCATTGCTCAAGACTGTGCAATTCGTTGTTTGGGACTGGTGTTGGACGTTCGCGAGCGCGCCCGCGTCGCGGCTGATCAATGCGCCTGAGGTTCCCATGGGCGCGCCGACTTGGACAGCTAGGATTTTCGCTGCTTGCGCAGCGGGCTCCCCCGAAAGCATTCAGCGCAATGGCCCACGCGCCATGCATTTCGGTGGTGCTTGTTTCTACTTGAATCCCATGCTAAATGTTTCCGTAAAATGTTGGGGAGCCGTCAGCTGAAGTTGCGCGTCGATATGTTGTCCGTCCGAATCAAGCGCGCAGCGCGTTGGCGGGCGCCCAGGTCCAAACTAATACGATACCATTAGCCGCCCACTTGGACTGCAAGTCGAATGGAGCCCGCTCCGACATCACCGTAAGTCCGCCCGGAGACTATTCCTCTCCTTGTTCTCTCTTTCTCTCTCTCTCTCTCGTTCAATGTCAGAGTGATCGCGTGGTCGAGCTTCACTTCATGGGCCATCGCGCCCCCGTAACATCCCTGACAACTCGTATGTCATGTGGTCCGATAGTTTTTGTACCGTGCGCAAGCCCCTTCTGAGCACGACTGAACAGGTCCATGCCGTTGAAAAAGAAGATGCTTTCGGAGACACGGAAACTTAAAGCGACCTCCGCCAGCCGGTATTCATCCGCCCACATCGACACGCTGCCACGGCCCATCCCGCATTTTAAGTAGGACCCAGCTGCGGCGAAATGAATGCGCGCGGGACGCCGGGAGGGGACGACAAGCGCCAGGGGAGGGCCGACGTCGCCCCCCCCATTTTCGCTGTTGTGCATTTTCTTTCCCGAGTTGCACATGGAACTCCGGGGTTCCTCGCCGCCGATGAAACCGTCGCTGCCGTTTTTGAAGCCCCTGTAGGCCTGGATCAGTTTTTCCTTTCTGTTCGAGTGTTTCATCCTGCGGGTCGTGGTCGAACGGCCCGTGATCCCCCTGTTCGTGCTCGGCAACGCGCAGAGGGCTGGCACGGGGGACGGGGGAGGCTTGTTGGAAACATTCTTGCTTCTTAAAAGGCGCGGGCCTTGTCTGAAGATGTAGGGCCGGCGCCATCTATGAAGCGGCCTCCTTTAGAAAACGCCCCCCCCCCCCGCCGAATTCAATACCCCAGTTGGACGGGCTATGCCCTGGCCAAGTTGAGCTGTAGCCGTGTGGGAGCCTTGAGAATCATAAACCACCACACAGCAAACACCAAACAACAAACCAAAACCCAAAACAACAAACCTTAACCCCCGAACAACAAACAACACACCCCAAACATCACACCCCCAAGCTCCAACCCCTCAACAGCAAACCCCAAACATCGAACATCAAACGCCAAACCCCAAACACCACACCCCACACACCAAATCCCAAACACCAATCCCTAAACACCAAGAACCAAACCCCAACCGTCAAACCCCACGCACCAAGCTCCAAACACCAAGCCGCAAACACTAAACACCAAACACGAAACACCAAACCCCATTCCCCAAACACCAACCACCAAACCCTCGGCGTATTCCTTTGCCCCTCATCCCCCATTCGTCGTCGTTGCCCTCCCTCCTCGTCCTCGTCGTCGCGGGATTTACCAACGGCCCGCAGGCAGGACGGCGTGCCTGGGGTGTGGGGCAGGGAGAGGAAGAGGAGGAGGAGGAGGAGGAGGAGGAGGAGGAGGAGGAGGAGGAGGAGGAGGAGGAGGAGGAGGAGGAGGAGGAGGAGGAGGGGGGGAAGGACCAGAAGGGAGAGGAAGAGGAGGACATGGAGGAAGAAGTAGAGGAACCGCTTTTGTTCGTGAGGGACTGCGATTGCCGACCGCTCTTTGGGTCAGAGTCTGGAGACCCTGTTGTGGCCGAGGTTCGCCGTGGCCGTCAAAACTCCTTAGCTGTCGATGTCCGCTTCTTTACGGCTCATGAAGGAAAGCGGTCCTGAGGGAAAAGGGTCTTGGAGTTTTTTTTTGTTGTTGTTTTGTTCAGGCTCCAGGGACCTCAGCGGGCGCATGGATTTGTTTAGTCCTTGAGGGTGTCACAGGTTTCAAGTGACCCCCTTAGGATTATTCAGGACTCATTTTTTGAACATTCGTTTCACGGTTCTATGGGATTTCCAAGGGTTTCCTCCGGAATCCAGTCCGGCGCAGTTCTTAGGATGTTTGAGGAGTTTTCGGGGTTATTTAGGAAGCTTGTGGCTTCTTTAGGATTGCGTCGGATATGTTAAGGTTATTTGGGGTTACGTATGTGGGATTGTTTCGGATTTATGTTGGGGCGCTGTACAGTTACTTTCCAGGACTCGTTTACGATTTACATTGGGCTCGTATGCGATTCCCATAGGAATCGTAGGCGAGCCACACAGGACTCGTATGCAGTTCACATGGGAGCCGCTAGCGATCCGCATAGGGAACGCGTACGATTCTCGTCATTCGATTCGTACACGATTCGCATAAGAGTCGTACACGACTCACGTAGGTATTGCACGCGATGCGTATACGATTCACATGGAATTTGTATACGATTCACCCAGGAAGCGCATACGATACACGTAAGACCTGTATACGATTCACATCGATCTGTGGACGGTTCACATTGAAATTGTATACGACTTACGTAAGTTTCGCATTCGGTTCAACATAGCACGCGTGCACGTTTCACGTAGGAGCCGTCTCCGATTCACATTGGCACCGTACACAATTGACACAGGTTTCGTATACGATTCACATGGGAGTCGCACGCGGCTGCCATAAGAACCCTATACTTTTCACATAGGAGCCGTATACGATCCACGCAGGAAGTGTTTGCAATTCACATAGGAGTCGTAAACGAATCACATCGGCTTGTACGGGTTACGTAAGATCCGTATGCAACCCACATAGGATTCGTACACTATTCGCGTAGGAACCGCATACGATTCACATAGGAGTCGTTTATGATTCAAATAAGAGTCGTACGATACACATGGACCTGTATGCGATTCTCATTGGAACCGTATCACATTCACATACGACTCGCCGACGATTCAAATAGCATCCGTGCACGCTTCCCATAGGAGTCGTCTACGATGCACACTGCTACCGTATACGATTTACACTGGGGTCGTATACGAGTCACATTGGTTTCCCTATACGATTCAGATAGGAAACGTCATATAGTCACAGTGGAGTCGTACATGGCCCACATTGGATTCGTATACAATCACATAGAGTTCGTACAAATCCACATAGGAATCGCAAACGACACATCTTCTAGTCAGAAATATGTGCATGTGATCTGGTAGGAGTCGCCCGCTCAGACGATCATTGATGAGGATGGGCTGTTCCCCGGTTTTTGTTGTCCCAGGGAACCATGTGGCCCTTGTTTATGATCACACCGATGGCACTCCAGATTTTCTCAAGATGGTTGACAATCGAAGTCAGTTACGGAAGGTCTTCCGAAGCCAACATTCCAGAAGGAGTGTCTCCCGGTCAACCGGGGTATAGTCCGTCCAACCAGGGTATAGCCCATCCAGCTTGGGTCTAGATTGCTGCCCACCCCATTTCTGCGCGCCGCCGAGGGAAGATGTACCTGGAATGATGGGCCTGTTTTCCACCACCACCACCACCATAAGTTGGAGGGGGGAAGGAGGTAGAGGACGCGGAGGAGGAGGAGGAGGAGGACGACGACGACGACGAAGAGGAGGAGGAGGAGGTGGAGGAGGAGGAGGAGGAGGAGGAACGCCCTCCCCCTCCAACTGATGGCGGTGGTGGCGGTGGTGGAAAACAGGACCATCATGGAAGGGAGGAGGAGAGGCGCCAACGGCGAGGGGGAGGAATCGGGGGCAACGATGGGGGGGGGCACAGGCACAGGGTGGACGCATCGGCCCCCAAGCGCCCACTCGTGCGCGCCGCCAGCAGGCCTCCTCGACCCCCTCCCCGGCCTTGGCCACCGCCCCCTGGTCGCCGCGCCCCCGCGCCGAGGGGGCCGCGCTGCTCCTCGACTGGGAGTGGGCGAGCGCCGCCCTCGGGGTGTGGAGGAGGAGTGGGGGCAGGAGGGGGAGGGGGAGGAGGAGGGGGAGGGGGAGGAGGAGGAGGAGGAGGAGGAGCAGGAGGAGGAGGAGGTGGAGGGAGGAGGAGGGCCCCCATCGGCCGCGCGGCGCGGGGGCGTCCTCCTCCTCCTCCTCCTCCTCTTCTTCCTCCTCCTCCTCTGGCACCCTCCCGACTTGGCCCACGTGGCTCAGTTTCAAAGTGTAGACGCTTCGCGTATCCCACCAGCCCGTCCAGAACCGATGCCCACGCGAGTTGTCTTGGGAGCCTACTTGGGAGGGAGGGGGCGAAAGGAGGAGAGGGGAAAGAAAAGGGGAAGGAGACGGATGAGGAGGAGGGGGATGAGGAGGAAGAGCAGGAGGAGGAGGAGGAGGACGCTTGCACAGAGCTTTTGCTGCTGGAGCCTCTTGGAGGCGTATTGGAGCCACGTTGCTGCCTTTGAGTGGCACGATGGTCCCCTCTTAGAGGCCCTGTAGGGGCTCTCTTGGGGCTCTTCGAGGGGTCTCTGGGCCGTCTTGGGGCGATCTTGGGTCCCATGGATCAAGTGGGGGGTTCTTAGTTCCCCCCCTCCCTTCGGAGGCAGCAGAATCGCGACTCTAGACCTCTTCGGGTGCTCTGGAGGGTCTCTTGAATACCTCTTGGATTATCAGGGGGCATCGCTGGAAGGCTCCGTGGTCACTTAGAGCCGTCTTGGAGCGGTCTTGTGGTCGCTTGCAGGCATTTCGATGGCTACTGGGCCATCTTAGAGCCATCTGGGCCAATTTTGGACTCTCTGACCGCTCGGGCCCGCCACGGTCCAGACCCAGGGGGAGGGGAGAGGGAGAGGGGGCAGGGTCCCCAGCGCGAGCGCCGCAAGCTGTCGCGCTCCCTCCCACCCGCCATCCCATCACATACAGTCAACCCGCACAGCAAGGATGTGCAACCTTCCCAAGGGTACCCTTACATCCTTGCCTCCTCGGTCCATCCTTGGCCACTTTCGTTGGCCGCTCCCTGCTCGAAAAGCTTCACAATTGGCGTCCAAGGCCCTTGCATCCTTATCGCGCATCCTTACTAGATTGGTTGTCTGTAAGGAACACCCCAGCCTCAGCAGACGTGGGCAGGGGCTGCCATCCATCGGTAACGAATACAGACGCAATCTAGGTGCGAGGCGCCCGCGAGGTGCTCGCGGGCCAGATGCCACGCGCGCCAGCTGCCCCATGGGCCCAAGTGTGGCTGGCGCGCCTGGTGCGCCGGATACGCCACGTGCTCCACATGCGCCCAGTGTGCCACGTGCTCCAACCGCGCCAGGTTCGCCACGTGCGCGTCGCGCGCAGAGTGCGCCAGGTGCGCCAGCGCACGTCACAGCGCACATCGCCCTATGTGGCGACCTCCCCACCATCCTCGTCAAAGCCAATGCACAGTAACAGAGGGGTTGCCAGCATTGTGTGCTTCGTTTCTACCTGGCATAACTGCACATTGGTCTTTTTCAGGGGTAAGTAGTCGGACTGCGCACAGCGGGCAATGTGATGTAGCTGCTGCCACACAGTGCATTTAGTTGACATGGATGATGGGGCATTGTTCCTGGTCGGTCGTCGGTCGAGTGGGGGAGACCGCGCGTATCATTGAGATGAGCCCCTCCCGAGAGTGGATGAAGGGCCTCCTCTGGCCTCATTCGTCTCGTCTCGTCTCTGGCCTTCTCTTCCTCCGGCACACTCTCTACAGTCAACCCGCGTAGTAAGGATGGGCAACCTTCCCAAGGGTACCCTTGCATCCTTGCCTCCTCGGTCCATCCTTCGCCGCTTTCGCTGGCCGCGCCCCGCTCGAAAGGCTTCGAAATGGGCGCCCAAGGCCCTTGCATCCTTACCGCGCATCCTTACTATACTGGTTGACTGTATCATTTCTTGTCCTCCTCATCTTCAACTCCCTGCTCACCATGAGGGTGGGGGAGGGCCCCGAGGAAAAGCGCGCCCCGGAGGTCTTTCGCCGCTCTCAGTCTACCGGTGCCCTTCCCAGGCCCCGGGGCCGTCAAAGCGATGGCGCAGGACGATGAATTGGACCTCGGGGGAATCCCCAGGGAGCAGGACATGTTTCCTTCGGGATCCGCTTCTTTCATTCGGGGAAAACGAAGCAGCATAAACGTAATTTCTCGGACCCCCCTGACGGCGCCTCCGGCGCTGCCCCTGGCGCGAAATCTGCGCGGACTTCCGAAAACTCCTGTTAATGCAGTCTTTTGGTCCTCTATGTCCCTTCATGGCAAGCCTGCCTCCCCTTCCTATGTCCACTGCTACTGCTCCTCTCACCACACATGCAAGTTTCCAGATGGCAGCGCCCTGTCGTGGGCAGCGACAGGGAGGATAGGCATGGGGGGGGGGGGAACGCATCGGTCCCCAATCGCTCATTGATCGCCGATAGGTGCCCGATAGCCCCAGCCTGCCCAGGGAGGTGCAGATTCACTATCGGGGGCCTATCGCTGATCGGTCGGCGACGTATCGCCGACTCCAGGTCGATAGTTTTCCCCCCTTGTGCCAGTCTCCCACTTTGACTGTACCCTGATCGTCTCATCGTCTCCATGAGGACCGTGCTCCGACCCGAGGAAACCTGCCCAGACCCCTGGCGTCGTGGGCATGCACACGAGGGCGGGGTTTTCACATGGCCTCCGGTGGCCCACTTCGGGCCCCGGGGCCGTCAAAACAGGAGCCGCGAATTCACATTTTGCCATGGGGGAAGCAGCTCCTGAGGGGAATGGGTCCTGAAATTTTGTGCTAATTTTCTGGCTCTCGGAGCCTTCCACGGAGTCCGTGGCTGTCAGACAACGACGCAGGATTAAAAGTTGGTCCTGGGGCATGGCAACGGGGTCCAGGACCCGTTTCCCTCAGGACCCGTTTCCCTCATGCTGAATGTTTCTCCTTGGGATGGGTTCCAGCGGGGAGGGGGGGGGGACATCGTGGAAAAAACAGCGTTGGAGATCTGGGTCCAGGAACCTCTGCCTCTTCATAGTATTGATCCTTCTCCCCACTTCTCCGGCAGCAGAATTTGGGAGCCTTGTATACCCTCGCAGTTCCGCTTTACGAGTGCGTTAGCGTTGATTGACGTATGGCAATCGATGAGATTGCGCCGATTTAGCTTCGATGCGCGCTGGTTCGCAAGAGCCAACAAGATGGTATGGGAGGCTCCCACATGATTCCGCAGAACACGTTCATCCCCCGCCTCCTCATCCTCACCCTCGTCCTCCTGCCCGAGGGCTGCGGCAGGAGGCCACTCTGGCTCTGCCGCCGCACGGGGAACGGCTGGGCAGCGACGGGGTCAGGGGCAACGTTGGCGGGGTGATGGGCTCAGGGGAGGACGCGTCGACCCCCAATCGCCCACTCATGGCCGACGGGGGCTCGATTGCCTACTCCGCCCAGGAGCGTGTGGTTTCGCTATCCGGGGCCTGTCGCCGATCTATTGGCGGTGTATCGCCGATGCCAGGTCGATGCTCGCGCCCCCTGAGCCAGTCCCCCCCTATTACTGGCCCTCTTGGTGGCGCGAGCCACTGCATGTCTGGCTCTGACTCGGTCCTGAGGCGCGCCTGCGTTGCCACCTTCCTGCGCCAGCGGGCCGCCGCGGACCCGTCCGCCCAGGCACAGACTGTGTGCCAGGGCTCGACCTAAACGGTGTTTTGGCGACTTGATTTCGTGCTGCAGCACAGGCAGAACGAAGACAGAACGAGGGACAGCGAGCACAAAGCGAAGATGGAAACCACCATTCAGGTCGAGCCCAGCTGTGTGCAGCAGACCCTGGTGCCGGTCCGATGGTACTAGAGAGGTGGGGCGAGATCCGATGCAGCGAGTCACTGTGCGAGCGCCGCCCCCGCACCCCCGACGCGAGCGGCGAGCCTCCGTCGGCGCCGGCGTCCGCGTCGGCAATCGCCGCCGCCGCCGCCGCCGGCGCCGTCGGCAGCGCATCTTCATGCGGGCGAGGGCCCGGGCCGCGCCGCGGAGCCTCTTGCGGGCGACTACAGTGGGTGTGGTTACGCTGGGGGGATGGTTTGCGATCTGCGCCGTTGGGGCCCAGGGGTCACCACGTTGCACCAAAGGTCCGACGAGCCCTCGTCGGGGTGCGGCAGAGAGACCTCTGCCGAGGTCCTCGCCCGCCCATCCCTTCAGGCGCGGGCTGCGAACCACACCCTCTGCAGACCACACCCCTCGGAGTCGCCGACCCCGCGCCGCCGCCGAGGCGCCCGAGGCCTCGGCGCGCTCGACCCCCGCGCGCCCGGCGCCGCGGCGGCGGCGGCCGGGGCGCTCGAGGCAGCTGGCGGTGCCGCGGGTGCGGCAGAGGGAGGCGGCCTGCCGATGGGCGAGGAGGCGCGCACCGGCGGGTGCAGCGCGCGCCCGCTCTCTCTCTCTCTCTCGCTCTTTTTTTTTTTTTTTTTTTTTTTGTTTTTTCTCTCTCTCTCTCTCTCTCTATCTCTCTCTCTCTCTCTCACTCACTCAGTCTCGGCTCGAGAGTGCCCTGCACTCATAGCGTCGCCGCGACGCGAAGCGCCCCGCCTGGAGTCCCGACTCCAGGCCTCGCGAGACCGGAACCGCGCCAGCAGCGCGGTACAGATTTGCGTCACCTCCTCCCTTCCCACCAGAGCGCCCGCCGCAATGGCCCCCGCCAAGCCGGAGCGCCGTCGCTCTTCCAAGCAGCCGCCGAGCTCACGTCCTGCAGCTGAAGGATCCCTCCTCCAACGCAAACAGGACTGCATTGCAGCCTTCAAGCAAGCGGGGTCTGACCGCCCCACAGCCGCATACAACGGGCTCGCCGAGCTGAACGCGGACGAGCTGCAGGCCACGTACGACATGCACAAGACCAACACCAAGAAGCTCGGCAGTGCCTTGATTCGCATGTGTGCCGCCAACCAGATCAGCTACACGCTGGATCACCACCAGCGCAGCAAGCCTAAGCGCAATGGTGGTGACACATCCTATCCACCAGCTGCGTCCGCACGTCTTCAGGCTGCGGACGCCAAATTTATTGCCTTGGACCCGGCCTTCTGGAAGGTCCCAGTCCTGGCCGAACCCACATCACTCGACGACGGCAAGACGTACAAGCCCAGCATCAGCCTCCACGACTACGAGAGTGGCGAGCGGCTGCTGCAGCACCATCTCGAGCAGGGTAAGCGTACCACGGGTCAGCTCGCGATCGCTGTCATGGGCCCAAAAAACGACAACTACGTCGGCACCGAGCTCGCCGTCCCCGTGCTGAAGCGCCACCCCAAGGCGCCCAATGTGGTTCACACGCACGTCCCCGTGACCGTGTACCAGCTGGGCACCAAGGAAGTCGCCTGCACGGAAAAAGTAGCCGTCGCCACCATTGATCCTGCCGACCACGTATGCTGGATTCGGGTGACCATACATGAAACCGAAGCCATCGCCGCAGTCCCCTCCATGCATCAGGCCTTCGAGGATCAGTTTTCGGGAGGCGCCCCCGTGAATGGTGGTCCACGCGCCAAGGGTCCTTTCCGAGGGGACTCCGCTCCACAGGACAAGGCGCGCCAAAACCAAAAGCACAGGGAGTCTAAGAAAGACGCTCGCCGCCAGGAGCTCGACAGTCAGTTGCAGGACACCTTCAAGGCCCTTTTCCACGGCAACTTTAAAGCCGTCACTATCCTCGAACCCTGCAAAAGTCTAGGCAGGTACGGATCTGGTGTCGGAAAAAGGTCCCTGGCTGCCACTTTCGGCGTCAGTCTTCAAGCAGTTGACAAGGTCTTGGCGGGTTCGGGGCAACTCGGCGCCACCTACGACCTCAGCAACGTAGGTGCGGACGAGCCCACGGCAGACAAGTACCAGACCGTGTGGTTCCCCGAGGACCAGCCCATCACGATGGCAGAGGCGTTCAGAAGTCGGTGGACTTCAAAGCCCTAGGAGTCGTCAGGCACGGCAAGTCAGGCTTATTGGGGATCCGTGTTGCACGTGGGTCAGACGCCGCCAAGGCCGCTGCCGTCAGCATCCGTGGCTGCGAAGCCACTCTCGCCAAGACGCGATACCGCATCACGGGCATTGCGGCACGCCGTGCCACGCTGACTCAGCTTGCCAAGACTCTCACGGGCCCGTCCGTCAAATGGGACTGTGAGGTCTACCACACCGCCTGGGACCCAGCCACTTCGGCGCAGTTTGCCTTAGTGCGCGCTCATCGTCCCCCACCCACATATACGGTACAGGTCGCAGGGTGCCCCATCCCGTGGAGCATCACCGAGGCCCCGTTGGCTGAGGTCGTGCCGAAGAGGGACAACGTTACCATTGTCACCCCTACCACTATCACAGAGCCTGTGACGCCGCCCGCCCGTGGTGGCGGCTTCAGCCCCGCCACGGGCACACTCCTAACCAAAGCGGCCCAGAGCCCCTACCTCCACGACCTCATGACTGCCACGCCCAAAGGCAAGGGCGTCGCACCGCTCCCGATCCTTAAGGAGGAGCCTTTAGCCAAGCGCCACCGATCCTCCAGCGGGAAACGTGACGCCACGCCGCACGCAAGATCACACGGCGCTCCAGGCCGCAGCTCCTCTGCTCCCCCGCACGGCACGGATGGAGCTGCCGAGCAGACGGCCGTCCAAGGAACAGGTGGGGACGGGCATGACCCGCAACCTGGCACGGGGGCGGCCGAAGGTGGGGGCCACACGGAAGGGCACGTTGACGCAGCCGCCGAGGCACCAGGCGACGTCGAGATCCTCTCATCAGAGGACGAATTCAGCGTGGCATCGCGCGAACCGAACACCCTCGGCGAACGCTTCGCTACGGCCCCTAAACTGTCAGATGCCGCTACGACCCGCATCCAACACATGGAACAACAGCACGAGCTGCTTGCCAACACGGTGGACAACATGCAGGTCCAGCTTGCGGGCGTTCTCTCATCCCAGGCCACACTCACGGAGCACGTTACAGGCTTGGAACGAGGGCTTGCCACCGTCGTCACGCAGCAACAGACGGCAACTACCGAAGCTGCTGCACTGCGCGGCGACATCCAGGCCCTCCTCGGGCACCTCACGGGGGGTACCATCCACCTGCCCCAGGTGGCCACCCTCGATACCAAAAAGGAGGAAGCTGCACCAGTTGCCGATCCCGTGGCTGTCTGCGGGTGGATCGACCAGCCAGGCCAGGTCACCCCAGGGACGGGGCCCCCAGGGGCTGACAAAGGCAAAGACAAAGGGCGGGCCACACAGGAACCCTATTGAAGGTGCCTCAGAGGGCCCGCCTCAGCCCTCCGAGGAAGCGCCTTCAGAGGCATCCCTTCTCACTTCTCGTCGTACCTCTTCCTTGCTATATCATGTCATTTTTGGCAGCAGCACGAGCAAGCTACCTGGTGTTGGGACACCTGTCATCTTGCTGTGGGTGTGTTTGTTGCAATGTACATGAGCATGCAGGGGTACCTAAAGATGCGTGCTGACATGCAGCCGTTTGGCTCATCGCTCGCGCCGCCTGCCAGGCCTCGCCATCATGTGGCGCTTTGCTTTCAGCCTGGCCCTCCCCTCGCTCGCTGGAGCACACCCGTCTTCAGGCGGTGCGCCCCAGCATGGAGGTGGGTTTCTTCTGCAGCACGTCGAACGTGCGTCCCTTTTCTACCTCTACGATGACAGCATCTACAAGCACGATCACTGCACCATCTTGGACCCGATCGTCTACGGCACCGCTGCCGCGAGTCCGTGCAGTATTGGCCAGGCACACAGTGGCGGCTTCAGCCCCGCTGTTGTGCCCCGCTATTGCCCTACGGGTCCCACCACTCCCATGCGAGATAGGGGCGAACCCGAGGAAGACCCTGCTTTCTGGCACCTGATGATGATCCGCGCCCGGCTCATACCGTGTGCTGCGGCGTGGGCACCAGGTGAGGATAACCAGGACATGTTCTGGGCATGGCTCGAGGACTGCGTCCCGTACATCCTGGCGACGCTCCATCTGCCACAGTACGATCACCTCTTCCTTGAGGCGTCCGAGGACACCACCGACGCCCTGCGTCATCGCACCGCGGTCGACATGTGCGAGGACATCTGGCACAGAGCGGGCCCCGACAGGCAGCGCATCAACCGCAACCTCACTCGGATCCAGAGCAGCCGCGAGTACGCCACCCGCTATTTCGGCCTCCTTCTGGAGTACCAGGGCGCTCGTGCCACGCTCGTTGGCCCTGAGGCTTTCATGGCACCGTTGCCGCCATACCTCTCACGGGCCCATGCTCTGCTGCCAAGAGGTCTCCCTCCACCCGACCATGACGCCATGGCGTACCTCGCTGATGTTATCCTCCACCAACCGCCAGACATGCTGCCGCTCGTCGAGGCGGAGCTCGCTGCGGCGCCGACGGACGGCACCGATCAGGCCGCAGAAGATCCCGTATCATGGCTGCTCCAGCACATCGCGGCCAGCGATATCGGCAATACTTCCATGGACTCGTTCCACGCGTCGGAGGATAGCCAGGACGACATCGATATCCAGGATCGAGACGGCACGATACCATCAGGCGACTCGGCTCAGCGTGACCGCGACAGTGAGCCTCACTCTGGGCTCGCCCCGCGGCAACGCAGTGCGCCCCACACCTCAGAACAGGCCGACCCTTCTGCGCGGCCTAACGACGCTGAAGGCGTCACTGCCGCTGATGTGACTAGCCATTCCACTGCTTCGCCAGCTCATGCCAGGCCGTGCAGTGGCGGCTTCAGCCCCGCTGCACCACTGGCTAGACCTGGACATCCCCAGACCGCAGGAGGTGACAACGTGACCGACTCCAACCCCAGTGCCATCGACCACTGGCAGGCCGACATCGACAACGACCCCATCGATGATGAACACCCAGATGACAGCGGTCCCCACGAGCCCCAGCACAGCTCAGCGGCATCACGACATTGTGGCTGCCTCATCTGCCTCCTGGTGGCCACGTACGCCATCGCGATAGCAATGCCGTACAAGGACCAGATCGATGGATACTTGCCGACCCCGAGCCGAGACCCCAGCTACCGACAACGACGACGACGCCAAGCGACCGCACCAGGCCCATCGGCGTCCACTATATTCCGACGCAAAACGACATACTATGTCACGTCCACATTGAGGGCCACTCTCAAATGGACCAGCGACAAACTCAGAGATGGTGTCTCGGGTGGAGCCACTGCAGTCGGGAGCGGCTTCGGGGGCGTCCTTAAATGGGCCAGCGGCAAGCTAGGGGCCATAGCCACGGGTGGAGTTGTGTGTGGTCTTCTACTCGTCGGTGCCAAACTCCTTGCCCAGGGAGCTGTCGGACACGTAGGCGCCCGCATATGTGCGCGGGCCCTGGACTCATCCACTGCCCACTGGTGCCTCCGCTGTTGCCAACCGAGCAGGAAGCCGAAGGACGAGGCCAC